TCTAGTTTTAGCAAGATTATAAGAATGCATTTGTTTAAATTTTATTAACTTTTAAGCCTATGAAATGTTGTAGCCTTCAATTGACATTCTAATTTAAGCAGCTATGGTTTGCAACTGGATATCATTCGCTCGGATTTCAAGTCTGGCTTGGAGGCTTTACTTAATGCGAAACCAATCAAAGCTATTTTCCTTGGTGTCCGAATGGGTGATCCTACTGCGGTACTTTGATTTTCTATTTCGGCAAAGTCACAATCATATCGTAGACATATCTCTGGCTATCAGATTATCTTCCAGAGTTTTGTGACAAAGATGCCTAAACTTTTGTGAGGTTTACAATCTTGTAGGTTGGTCAAGAACAGTTCTCGCCTAGTTCACTTGGATGGCCACCTTTCATGAGGGTGAATCCTATATTGGATTGGTCATACAGGTATGTTCATTTACCATATGCTCTGTCCTCAATTTTCTTTATTTTTGGCAAATGGTAAGGGCTGTTAGAGAAAAAGTTCATTTCTACTAGAAAAGTGCATTTCTGTCGTTTTCAATATGGCTGGAGGAATCGTCATCTCTTCATGACAATCAGAATGGGGCTTTAAAAGTGTTTCTAATACCATATATCTGTCAAATTCCTTCAGCTTCTGAGCGCATCATACCTAACTTTTTGCCTAAATTCCATGCTAAGATTGATCCTTTTGCACTGGACTAATTTGTTTGGTGTTTATATCTCCATGAATGTTTATGCTGATTGTAATGTAGAGGAAATGGTTGTTATCCTCTTAATCTGAACTTTCGAGGGGTTTGACTTCCATGTGTTTCATTGCAGAGATGTGTGGGCTTTTCTCTTAACTTGCAAAGTCCCCTACTGCAGTCTATATGATCAAGGGTAATACTTTCTCTATGTGGCTTGAACTGTTGCTTTGATTCTTGGCTTTTCTCAGTGCTCACAAGACTTTTGAGTGTTACAAGTTGGTTATTGATGCAGATATTGTCACATGTCATTTGATTTCACTCTTCTGTTATACTCGTTTAGTCATGTTCGGCTAATTGGTTTCTGTTATTTTCTTCGTTCTCACAGTTACACTTCAATTGGAAGCATCTATGACACAGTTCCAAATGCATTATTGTGCATTAACAATTCCTCCGGCAGCAAAGAAGTATTTAGACCTGCATATTTGCTTTCTGATGGAAGATTAGAGAGAGCTGGGAGAGTTAAAAAACTTCCTTCATCAGTTAGTAGGCATAACCCTGCTATTATCAATGGCCTTGACAACGTGGACTTGCATAAGAGTAGCCTACTCACGGCCTCAGCCATTGCTGTGGGAGATGAGATTTTGTAAGTCGTTGGTATTACGTACTTTTATTGCAATCAATATCCATAATTGTATTGTTCTGAGTGTAATGGTCCTGTATACATTGGATGTGCCATGATATCAATGATGAGTGATTACTCGTTTAAATTTCAGGCCTTTTTTTAGACTTTCAATAGAAACCATTTATTCAATTCTTGATCTTCTTTTGTATTTAGTAACCTTCATCTAGAAGAAAAAAAAGGGTCTTTCTTCTTGAAGAAAAGTGGGGCAGGGTGGTTTAGTTTCATTAGCCAGCCATTTAGGTTTTTCCTTTCTTTTTGGTGCTTTTGTTCAATATCTTCAGATTTATTGTTTTTTGTTGTATTTTCCCCTGGATTCATGATTCTTACATGTAAATATCTTTCATTTTCTCATGGTTTAAGGCTAAACAATCACTAATTGTTTCAAAATTATGGTTATGCCCTTTCGAAATTGGATTTTAGCACTTCGAGTTAACTTTTGTAGTGATCAAGCCGCGTTACATGATCATTTTTTTTTCTTTTATTTTTAATTATCACGTATGCAAAAAGAAAACAGAAACAGTCAGTAGTGTAGGGGACTGAAAATAAAGGACAAGAAAGTGTTGTGGAATGAAATGAGCTTCAAATGTCGTGGCCTTTTAGTTCTCAACCCAGTGTTATTTGTAATAACTTATTACTGAAGTTTATTGTTTTCTTTGTATCTGTTTGATAGCTCAGGTTTGGCACTGTTGAGGATCAAATAGGGCCCTCATTGTGTAGAAAGCTCCATTCTATTGGCTGGTCGGTATCACAAACTGCTGTTGTTCGGAATGATGTGAGTTACTGTTGCAGAATAAATTTTTTTAAACCACAATTTGGCCTAGTTACAATGTACCTATGTGCCAACTTATGTCACTGCAATGATGGATGTGCAGTTACATATGGAACTTGAAACATGCATTTACTCACATCACCTTACTGTTTCATCTTCTATGACATTCTTTTGGTAACCAACAGATAGATTCTGTGGCTGAAGAAGTCGAGCGACGACAATCAACTGATGATATGGTAATCATTACAATTTGTTTGAGAGTTATTTAGTTGGTTTCTTAGTGATGAAATGAATGAGGGATTTGCCTATCTTGGTGCTTATTCTTTATGCAATTTTACTTTTCATGACTATGTAGGTATTTATATATGGAGGGGTAGGCCCACTGCACTCAGATGTCACTATGGCAGGTGTTGCAAAGGCTTTTGGGGTTCGTCTGGTACGTTTGTTTTTATTGAACTTTCTCAATCACAAAACAGTGATATTTCATTGAATCTATTAGTCTTTCATTCTGGGAAAAAGGAAATCTCTATTAACCCTGCAACCTCAGGGACTTGTAAAATGGTGTTCATAGGAAGATCATTGAGATGTCCTAATTTGTGCCAGCTTTTTAGTTGTCCTCAAAGTCTCTAACTGATCAAGGTTGGTCAATTTTCATTAATTTAGGCTCCTGATGAAGAATTTGAAGAATATCTGAGGCATCTTATAGGTGATCAATGCACTGGTGACCGGAATGAGGTACTTAGATGTCGAGAAATTTCTCTGATAGCATATGGTCTCATTGTGTTTTTTTTCTTCTCCTGGTGGTTACTTTCTGCGTACTGTGTTCCCATAATTTTTTTTATTTTGCATATCTTACTGTGCCAGAGTCTTCACAGCATGAATTTAATCTTATTCTTGTTTTTTTTCCTTCTCAGATGGCTCTGTTGCCTGAAGGTATTACTGAGTTGTTGCATCATGAAAAGCTGATTGTCCCTTTGGTATGTATTTGGAAGGTCACATATGATAGTTTTGTTTTTTGTTTCTCTGGTCAGCTAGAATTTAAGATACTGTGCTGAAGCTTCCACTGTCAAAAACTGCTTAAATGTCTTTCTCTTGGCCAATTTCTGTGCATAGATATCTTTCAATCGATAAAGTGCTAATCTTATATAGCATGGCATCTAATGATTGTCTCTTGCAGATTAAGTGTAAAAATGTAATAATCCTTACGGCAACAAATGCCTTGGAGCTGGATGAGCAGTGGAACTGTCTAATTGAACTAATGAGATCCGATGATGTGCTACTAATGATGCAATCATTTGTATCTAAGCATTTGACAACAAATCTTACAGATGTATGTAATTCTGTTTTCCATGATATTGTCAATATATTAAGTCTTGAAATTTTGAGTGTGTACACACACACAGACACACACACATTGATATGTTGGGTAATGTTCTTTCCAGAAGTCTTCATGTTAATTGCTAAGTGTTAATCTGAACCACACATTTAAACAATGAGCCACCTGATCAATGCAGGTAGAAATTGCTCGACCTCTGTCAAAACTTTGCCTTGAATTTCCAGACCTTTACATTGGTAAGTGCCTTTTAAAAACTGTACATTCCTAGGAGAATGTGATATCTAGTATCTTATTCCAATTTTGATCTTCATGTGAAATATCAAGGTTGTCATCGCAAATCCAGAAAGGAGCCTCTTATACTTTATTTCAAGGGCAAGGTACAAGAACATTTCCCAGGTTCCAAATATGCAATTAAGTTATGCAAGTTGTTCCACTGAATTTAACCCTTTGAGAACTTTGGTTGCAGGACCAAGATCGAATTGAATCAGCCGTAGAAGCATTGAACAAGAAGTTCTGTCCGGGGGCTTTCGTCGAAATCAACTCCAGTTGATGGCAGCATTGTTCAAGTAGTCTTCTCATGCGTCAAATTGCTGAGTTATTCCACACTTGAACCGGCCTCTCTTATATGAAAATGTTGATGGAACAAGAGGAAATCCTCCCCATGTATTTGTTGGATGGAACAAGGAGATCATTGCAAGGGAATTTGAAAGGGGAGAGAGATGAGGAAAAGAAACTGGGCAAAGCCCCCTATAATTGGAGGGAAATGTTAACAATTACGTTATTATGAACAATTAGGTTAAATACAAATGTACTTTGCACTAGATGGAATCTCACAGTTCACTACCATCACAATACTATTCCATGTGATCAACTGGATGGTTCTTTTTAACTATTCAGTTTTATCCTGATTAATAACACAAATCCAATGAAAAACTGATGGATTTAGGTTGACCATTACTTGACGCGATTCTAAATTGTTTTATCATGTTACATGTATGAACTTTTGTAGAAAGTGATTTGTTTAGATTGAAGATTAGGGGGACTCTAGGCTTAAGTTGTTGATTTATGAAATGTGAGCCGATCGGAACATGATATGATTAGTAAACAAGTTATGTGGTAGGTCAAATCACAATTAACATAATTATATGGTTTTTATGTGGTAGGTCAAATCACAATTAACATAATTATATGGTTTTTTTTTCCAGTCATACGTAATTATATGGTTAGGATTGATATAGTCGACACTCAAATCCCTTTTTAATCCCAACGTTCCCTCTTCATTCTTGTTAATATTCATTTTCTCTTTTATGAAATTTGAATTCATGACCTCCTTAACAAAATGAAAATTGGATGATGCTAGACTAAATGGATAGTAACATTATATTTCTGAACTTGCAAAAATCAAAATCAATCCTGGTTGCATCCAAGATGACGCTTATGGTTGTTGGCTTCATGCCATGGCCATTTGGCCAAGTGAGACCACATGAAGGGGAGAAAGAGTAGGGAAGAAATGAGTCAAAGGACCTTTCGTCGTTTAAAACATTCCCTTCCAAAACGACATCTCTTAAAATGTCGAATGTTAAAGCCACAACCTTTGGTCTTTCCGAGAGAGAGAGAGATGGAGGGAGGAGGGGCTGGTTGGAGTGGCGACGAAGCCAACACCACCAAGAAGGGATTAGCGGGCACGGGCTTGGAATTACCAGAGAATCGCCATGGAAACCTAAAAAGTGCTTCCAGCGACCAAAACCTCAAAGACCTTCTTCTCCAAATCAAGTCCTGCAAATCCCCAGTAAGCACTCAAATCATCCATAACCCACATTTCAGTTTTCTATTTTGTGCTCCTATTTTCCTTTGCAAGTTGCAACCCATTAAACCCTTATCTGGGTTCTTGTTTGTGTATGGTTGTAATCGTTTTGGGTTTTGTTTATCTTTTCAACTCCTTGCAGGCTGTTATCAACTATGGCGCATCTTGGTATGTCTCATTCTCCGGCTATTTTTTACAACTTTGTGCACATTCATTTTGAGCTCAAGTTGTTTGATGTATAGCTTCAATGAAAAATTGAGTGAATTGCTTATTTTTGGTCTTATTTTTAGGTGCCGTGTGTGTAGCCAAATCCTTCCTGCATTCTGCCAGCTGAGTAATAGTTTTCCAAAGCTCTCTTTCGTCTATGCAGACATTGATGAATGCCCTGAAACTACTCAGCACATTCGGTACACGCCGACCTTCCATTTTTACCGAGAGGGTGAACGGGTGGATGAGATGTTTGGTGCTGGAGAAGAGCGGCTTCATGATCGGTTGTGGTTGCACTCCTGAACTGTTTGTTTCAAACAATTATTCAGCTGTGGTTGTGGGTATAGTTTGCACCCAAAATCTGTATGGCTTTGTATAATTTGTACCCAAGCTATTACTTAAGTTGTTGGATTTCTTGCTATGAGCCTACAATCATGCAATTACTAGATTTTGATTGTTCACGATGAGCTTCAACGTTGAGATATAAAAAGACAATCAGATAAATTTCACAAATTGGTCAATCAAGTCCAATGCCAGAACCCTCAACAATCAAGCTAATGGGAAAAGAAAGAAAAATGGAAACATGAAAAATGACAGAAAGATAAAAGACAACGCAACAAATGCTACAGGCTCCTCCTAAAGTTTGCTACTATCTCAACTTTAAAGCACACATCTCCTACCCTCAACTCTAATTTGAGCCTTGAAAATGTAGACCTCAACATCAGACGTGTGCATTGAAGTTCTTTATTCTTCTCTAGCAAGATGAATAATTGCGGCGATGATGGTAGCCATTTGCAAAAACTAGCTCACTTTCTCAGGCCTTTGGCTTGAGGATCTTTACGGTCTCCCAAGTGAAATCTGGATCATCACGGCCAAAATGACCATAAGCAGCAGTCTTTTGATACCTGAAGTTGCCTCCTCTTTTCAAATCAAGGTTGTTGGCAATCATTCCAGGCCTAAAGTCAAAATTCTCCTTGATGAGAACCAATATCTCCTTGTCTGGAATTTTTCCGGTTTTGTAGGTATCCACAAAAACTGATAGAGGTTCTGGGACGCCGATTGCATAAGAAACCTGCACAATACAGCGCCGAGCAAGCCCTGATGCGACAACACTCTTTGCTGCCTGCCTTACAATGTATGCGCCACTCCGGTCCACCTTGGTTGGATCTTTCCCTGAGAAAGCACCACCACCATGAGCACCCCAACCACCATACGTGTCAATGATAATCTTCCTGCCCGTAAGCCCAGCATCTCCATGGGGTCCTCCAATGACAAATCTACCCGAAGGATTGAGGTGATAAATAGTTTTGTCATCAATGAATTGGGCTGGGACGACAGGTTTGATCACATGTTCCTTCAAATCACTAGCGATCTGCTCATTTTTGACAGTCTCATCGTGTTGGGTTGAGATGAGGATGGTGTGCACCCGAATCGGGACCATGGCCCCGTTCTCATTCCGGTACTCAACAGTCACTTGGGTCTTACCATCAGGCCTAAGCCATGGGACTGTTTTGTTCTTTCTGACCTCAGTAAGCTTGGCACCAATCTTGGTGGCAAGGACATGAGTTAATGGCATGAGCTCAGGTGTTTCATCTGTGGCGTAACCAAACATGTGGCCTTGGTCACCGGCTCCAATTTCCTCAGGCTTCTTGGTGAGGTGGCCATGAACTCCCTCTGCAATTTCAGGGCTTTGCTTCTCAATGTTGACAAGGACCTTGCAGTTGTCAGCATCAAGGCCTACATCAGCTGATGTAAACCCAATTCCCCTGCAAGTGTCTCGAACTATCTTCTCATAATCTACCTTAGCCTGGGTTGTGATCTCACCAAAGACCATGACCATGTTGGTTTTCGTACACGTCTCACAGGCAACTTTGCTCTCGGGGTCTTGTTCCAAGCAAGCGTCGAGAACGGCATCCGAGACTTGGTCACAGAGCTTGTCAGGGTGACCCTCATTGACAGATTCAGAGGTGAAGAGGAAGGTTTCCATCTCTAAACTGAGAAAAACCAAAAGATCGTGTGTTAATTCTCCAATTTGACATTAAAATATTGAAATCTCAGCAACAGAGAAGCACATGTAATGCCTAAACAATTCCCATCTTACTCAATCTCATTGCCTGTTAAATCATGCACAATATCTAACTGATGATATTAGAATTTAGATTTCAACAAAATCTAGAGATTGATGAACAGAATTATCAACAGATATCGGCAACAAATCAAGGCAAACCAAAAAAATGTGACCATAAATCTAAGATCTAATTAAACAGCAGAATTCTTGATGAGATCTAACAACGAAAATGAGAGATCATGCAGCCACAAAACCATAACAGCAAATCCTCAAAGCATTAAACAGAGAAATCAAAACGTTATGTACACATTCCAAAGAATGCAATGAATGAATTGGATCTTAACAAACAGATGGCATGCTAACAAAAAAATAGATATCAATCAGCCCCAGATTGTCTAAAGCAATTGGGAAATATGAGATCAAGATCCAATGGACATCGAACTAAACCAAGTTAGATGCAGAAAGGAAATGAGATAAGAAAAAAGAAGAACGAACCTGAGAGCGACAGAGGAGGAGGAGGAGGAGGAGGAGGAGGAAGAATGAGAGACGTGAAAAAATGAAAGAGAGGATGGGGTGAAGGGCAGTTTGATTTTATATATAGATGTGAAGAATCGATATGCGGCGTGGCGCCGGTTACGTCTGACTCGTTCTCTCTCTCTGCCATTTGGCTTGGTTTGGATTGGCTCATAATTTACTTTCCCGCATGGTGGTATTGGGCCCTACTTACTTACCACGTGGAGTTTGGCTCCACAAATCAAATCTTGCCAACTCATTTCATGAGATGACGTGATATGCTGTGTTAGTGTGTTATCACTTGGTGTTATTGTCGCATATAAAATTTTCTTCTGAATGACGAATTTATAAACTTTTCAGATGGCAAAGTGTAACACAGCTTATAATTTAGGGGGCATTGCTAAACTTTTTTGAAAATCACACCGATATCTTAAATTACTCTAATATATGAAAACGGGGATCAAACTCGAGTGCAAAGAGGCAGACACCCGGGATGAAACTCTAATGTATGACTAATCTGTGAATGTAAAGATTATTATATTCATACCATAAATTCATAACCAAGTTTTATCATATTGAAAGCCAATCAATTGACGTATCTAATCCCGTGTATCAAGTATGAATTGACTAATGCCTACTCCTAATTTCACGATCATATGAGTAATCAGAATACTGTGTGTTGAATATTCCCAAGAGGTGGGCATATACTTAATGATGCTTCACAAATTAGGTCGGTTGTGATAAGTAGTGGTTAATCTTTGGCCTTTAACCAAGAATGAGCAAGTCGGTGCCACACGCCTCACTTGTGAGCTGCATAAACAACAAGACAACTTCGCTGGAGCGAGTATGAGAGAGCGATGGGTTGCAGTCTTAACTGTTTTTGGTTTTTCTTTGTTGTTTCTTTGGAGGTGCTGTGTTACTCTTTTTTCTGACTTTATTTTCCTCTTTGGGGGTTTTTTAAAGCAAGGTTTTAAGGAGGTCATTCTTAACCCTCCGGTTCGTCAATTGATTCTATTGTATCTGTTGATGCAAGTTCAATGAAGTTCTTATCTTTGAAAATAAATAAAAAATTAAAACAAAAACAACAAGACAACTTGTAATTCCAAAAAAAATGTCCTCTATTTTTTTTTTCTTCTGTAGAATTACACCCTTTTCCCTACTCCCTGCTGCTGTGTTTTTTGCTCAATAAGATTGCTGATCCTGAGAGCTTAAAGTTGAAACCAATTGTGGAAAAGGGTATGAATAATTAAGCTAAAATGTAGTGAAGAAAATCCAAGAAAACTAGCTAGGCATGGAAAAGAATCATATATTAGTAGCTTAGGCCAAGTTGAAGTCCAAGGGCAGCATGGACAACAAACAATGTCATGATCCCAGTACCCAAGACCCCATGAACAGTTCTCAATTGAGGTTTGCCCTGTAAATAAAAAAGGAAGAAAAAAATACTGAGTTTCTTGAACCATTGCTGAATAAACAAAAAAAAGAGATAGATGGCAAGAAGGGTTCTCTAGATTTACCTCAAACAAAGCAGGTAAAATGGTTTGTATGGTCAAGAGGCCAAGGCCAATAAGCCCTGTGACAGCATGAGAGCTGCAAACACAGATACAGATAATTTCCAACCTCAGTACAAAGCACAATATATATTCATTCCAAAGAAAAGGGAAACTCAAAGAACATAATTTTCTAAATGTACCTCTCAAAAATGGGTTTGTCTGAAGTGAGAAGAGAAGTTACTCCACCAGTTGCTCCAAGAGCGAAAAAGAAAAACATGCCAGCTAGAAGCTTAGGGTGCAAGTCTTTGGCATTGGCCTTCTCCTCCTGAAACAATAACAACATATCATGATCATTGATCAAGATACTACTTAAAATGTCTGGCATTGTTGTTTGAATCACAATACATGCCTACCACATCATCAGAATACCGTATCCGGTAACCAAGATATGTTCCATAGCCTCCCATGGCAAAAAGCACCACAGCCTACAAAATGAAAGAAATCATAGACAGCTTTAGATAAATGCCATCTTCGAACTGGACGTAGGCTACACACGGGCCGAACCAATATAAATCCTTGTGTCTCTTGGATTTTGCTATTTTCATATTTGTCTTGTTTGTTTCAACGGTTCCCGTATTGTCCACCCAGTGCAATCCGCTTCCGCTGCGCACAACACCCAATGCACAAGCCAGCCAGGAAGACCAAATGATTTAACAAGCTCAACGAAAGGCTCGAACAGAGATGTCACAGCTCCAGCTATCATCAAAATTTTCAGGTACATATACATTATGAGTACAAAATCAGTAACATTACTAGTTTGAGATAAGATTTAGCTGCTGTGATGTGATGAAAGGACTGTTTATGCTTTAGAAGCAGAAAAAATTCAGCAACTCAGAAAAACTAGGCATGGGAAGTACATAAATCTACTAAATATCCAAAATATCTCAAGAATTTAGAAAATGAAGATTGCAAGATGTGCTATATATGCTTGAGTTCAGCTTGCTAATGTTAGGCCCTCACTGTCACTCTTTTATTAAATCTCAATATCTCTGAACCCAACAACAAATGCAAGTGAGAGAAATATTGAATAAATTTGAAAGGCTCAATTGCTATACAAAAATGTACATACCTCCAGGAAGAGCAGCCACAAGCAGCAGAGGCAAAGGACTGAGGGAATACAAAAGGGTCTCGTTGGGCTTCTTCTCCATCCCTAATTCTTTTTGCTGGTCAGCCTCATCAACAACATCTACACTAGAAATTCTGGTGTTCTTGATCACAAGAGGACATGGGAGAGCTCTTCTTTTGTTTGCTGATGATATTGCAGGCGACATTTCCGTAGGGAAGCATTTGGAGGAAGCTACAGAGGCACGCAGCAGAGGGGAAGAGAGATTCAGAGAAAGATGAGCAGAAGCAGTAACAATAGCCATTTGATAGATATCAGAGTAGACTGTGTTTGATTCACGGAGACTGAGAGAGTGAGAGAGTGAGAGAGTGAGAGAGTGAGAGAAGATGGAAGAAGCCACCAAAGGAATTTTAAGGAGAAGAAGATAGAAAGAGGCAGAGAGGCAGAAAGAGACACGACTTGCACCCACAAAAGTTAAATGATTTGGTATGGTAATGACCTTTCCACGTGGTTTCAACACGAACGCCTACGAGGCACAAAACCAATCTCTCTCTTTTCCCGACCAAAAAAAAAAAAAACTAATTTCTTTCGGTGTACTTTCCACTGAATGGTTCTGTGATGGGGAGGTCCCTGTCAAGCATTGAGGAGGGTGGTGAGGGTACACCTATGGTTAAAGTGGTGAGCAAAAATGCACCCTAGCATATTATTCACAATGCTCTCAGCACTTAACAGTCAGCAGACTGTTTCATGTATTCACTAGGAAGACATGAAATACTGTATTTTTACGGTACATTCATTTAATAAGTCAAATGTGCCACTTAATTAGCTGTGATATACCCAATAAATATGGTATTTTCATATGCTCGTATTAAGTACGTGAATATATCGTAGACGAACTTCTGCACACAAACCTAATTTACTAAACAGTAAGAACAATCGCCTATTTATATACAACTGATTACACTTAAAGTTTTATTCTATGTACATACGGTGTGAAGTAGCCATTCATGCACTAATGTGAGGATTAGCCATATGCTTGTTATTGTACCTGGCATCCATCATTTCCTGCTCTAGGCTCTCGATGTGTTTTTTTTTTCTTTTAAATTTACGCATATATGATATTCGAACTTAAAATCTATTTCAAGACCTGAAAAATTGTGACAGCATAAAAACCTAGCTGATTTCCAATGTCACTCGGTTAATTTAGTCAGCTCTTGATCGAACAGTAGTAGACATGAAAACAATTTTAAATATTTACATCTCAACTAATGTTTCATCTCAATTTTTAACCGGGACTTATTGCAACCAACTATGAATGCTGGATTTTAGCCAACTGATATTATTAGGAAAATCCTCCGAAAAAAATATTATTATTAGGAAAATAGAGCTGTGGTGAGTAGCAGATATACACAATGTGCGGAATGGACTCTTGATTTTGCCTGCCTCGTCTCCTGTGTGTATGTGGTCTTCAATTCACTTTCTTGGCCCGATGGCATAGGCTCAGACTGCTTCAACTTCAATTTTGCCACTTTAACCTAACAACAGGCCGAATAATTGGTAGATACTTTTGCTCCTTGTCTGCAACACATTCAACATACACAAGTCAAAATTAGGGCACCAGGAAGATGTCAACAAACACAAGCAATAATTTTGTACCAGCTAAGTTGATCAAGCGAGAATTTTCAATCTGAATATTAGCAAAGGCTTGCAAATAGAAGAACCAGTTGATCCAATGCAAGAATCTCCATCATAGGAAAAGTGAAACTACATGGTTTCATGCATTTGATTTTTAATGTGGAAACTGGTTTCTTGTGAGACGTACCAGTGATAGATAGTCGCCCCCCCTGCCAAATCCTTTCATCTGTCGACTTGGAGAATGTTGTTACATATGGTACCCCTGGTAACTGACTCTCTTTGAGGATCAATCTTCCATTGGCCATCAACAATGAATTTTATCTGCAGTTAATAACATATCACATTTAGGCACAGTTATTCAAGTTTGTATTCTCCTTGCCAAAAGAGAAAAAAGTTCATATCTTTTAGCTGCTAGATCTGCATACCTCATATATCCCTGGATAAAGCCACAGCATTGTTGACCAAAGTCTGGTTTTCCTGGAAGAACATGTAATCCTATTGATCAGTATGCTCATTTTTCCACTATTATTTTAGCGCCAAGTAGATAAAACAACATGACAACTTCAGAATTTTAAATGAAGGAATAGCGAGACGATAACCAACAATAATATGACAAACTGATTACGATGATTCTTCAGGAAACATATATGTAAATTAGGCACAACAGAACTAAACAAAATAAAGTTCTGATGCCAAATTATACACAGTTTTGAAAATAAAGAGACTGTTAAGACCTTGATCCAGTGGGGCCTATGATACCAGATGATGGTTGTGGATCCATTTCAATCTGATGATGCCAACCATTGAAGCTACCAGTCACCTCCACAATCTCACCATCCCCACAGTACTGGATCTCAACCTAATAAAATCAGGAAATTGGAGTCAGCAGGTGTTCACATATATTAATTACAACCAAAGATCCTGTCACTAGTTTCGCTTTGTCAATACATGGAATCTTTTAAAGGGTATCAAAACAATGATAAAACTCAGAAAGAAACAGTGGTCATATCTTTTTCCCAAAGGAAATTACTATGCCATGCAAAAGGTGTATGTATGAATAATGAAAAATCAGGGAATGATTAATAGGCCTCATTGGTCAGAACATCCTACTCAAAGCCAAGATGCTCTAATAGCATAGCTAATTTATACAAAATACATCCAAAAGAAATGGCGGTTGTTATACCTCCACTAGTCCTGAAAGGCTTTCTTCAGCAGCTAGTAACTCCGCGTTTTTTTCGGAGACGAGCTTTTGCGCTTTGCTGATTGCTGTTTCAGCATTGGTTTGCAACTTCGACAAAGCAAGCTAAAGCAAGAAATAAAATGCATAAGAAATCAGATGAGTTATCATATTGGCCATAAAAGTATGAACTTCCCACAGAAAAGAATTTTTAAGCAAACAGAGGCAAACTGACATACATGTTTCTATATGGATACTTGCACAAGGTCTTGCCATAAAAACTAAATGGAGCCTTCAGAAATAGCTAATATACCTTTTCCTTCTCGATCTGTTCTTTCAACCGACACAATTCCATCTCCTTCTGATGCTAAGAAAAAGAATATAATCAAAATTATGATCAGCAGTTCACGTAAAAAAGGTCCATGCATAAGCAGAACTTTAAGACAAATACTAGTACCAGCATGAATTTGAGGTTACTAATATCAAGTTGATCCTCCCGTTCACTTGTCTGTAAAACAGAATCACAAGTAATACTGTCATCAGAACAAACCAATCAAGATTGATGTTTGAAGTAACATAATTTTGGGATAAGTAATGACCTTAACATCTGAATCCTTTCCAGATACAGAACTTAGCCCTTCAGCTGATGAACTGTCATCCCTACTTTATAAATATTAAAAAAGTTACATTGATGTACCACAAAACCATCGTAGTGAAATAGCCTACAGTAGTGAAAAACTGTGCAAGATATTGTCCAGTCATGCATCACAATTTGAGCTCCAGTTCCATAAGAGCATAATCTAAAAATAGGTGATTCTGACAATGTAACTCTTTGGAATATCACAAAAAAAATGATCATAGATCTCCACATCCTCCCTTCTTTACCTTTTCACCAAGCAAACGGATTATCAAAGTAATTATTACAGGGGAAAAACAAATAAAACAGTATAAAATGCATCGCTCTCTCTCCCCCCACAAACGCGCATACAGAGAGAGAGAGAGAGAGAGATTGCAATGTTGATGTCCACTTCTAGCAAAGGAATGACTAGAATCATGGTATAAATTATGAAATGAAAAATGAAATAATGTACTGTCGCGAACGAGATTTAAATCGTTGAATTAGGTTAAATAGTAACAACATGCATAATGGAAAGAACAATTGAACATTAGAGAAAACAACAGGAAACTTTGAGCAGATGTACAAA